CCAGGCATGTTCATAAGAAAGAACTTGATTGGGTTCACAAGCCACTCTGTGAATGCTCTGGGTGATTTGTACTTGGGGTAATAAAATTGCAGTGAAAATGGTCAGTGGCTGGTGGTTGTTCAAAGGAGGAACCTCAGCTCAAGACGCAATTAGCCTAAATACTTCTTATTATGAAGAAAGTTCAGATATTGATCAATGGTGAATGATGAATTTAGGTGGACAGTACTGTAAAGAACACCTGATGCTTGTAACATGACTGAAGAAGGATGGTCCTTGATGAGTAATTGTGCTACCAGTAAGCCACAGGACCCATTAAACTTCATTACCTTGTACTTAGCTGGATGCAAATTTCAGTCAGCTCTGTGCATCTAGCTTCCAACTATGTGGCCAGATATAACGTCACTACCATTCACAGAAAATTAGTTTACTTCCACATGTTGACCTTTCCAGACAGTGTAATGCTGTGTTGGGTAACTACCACCCTGGCTCAGCCTGGATTATCTGCAAGCCACACATTCAGGCAGAGAGAGGAACACTTCACATTCCTACTGTAGCCAGACCACATGGACTAGTGTGAACACACTCCTTCCCCCATGACCAAAAGCACCTATTTTAATGAAAATGTTTTCCGTTTGTGGGGATCAACCAACTGCCTCAATCCTAGCAACAATGCCAAGAAGGACTCTTAAGTTGTCATTAGATAACAAGCCATAGTTAATTATTTGCACATTTTTGCCTAACAGCTTTGTATGGTGATCAGTGGCTCCATACTTGGGTCTCTTTGCTTCTTCCTTGCTTTGCAAACTCTTTGGAACCGCAACACAACTGTATTTCAGCAGAGAGATCCAGCAGGACAGCCTGGAGGCCACTGAGTGGAACTTCGGGGAGTTCACAGCGCAGAAGTGACTCTCTTGCCCTTCCCCAGCTTGGTGTCCTCCAATGTGCTGCAGCCCAACACATTTGGAAGGAACCAGACTGGAGGAACCTGCCTTAGCCTTTACAGTGCTGAGAAGGGAACAGGTTTAGCATGATAGCATTGTTCTAAGCCTTTAAAAATCAACAGAAGTTCAATCCTATACATTTGTACACAGAAGTAATCACCAGTGACTGTGTAAAGGACTGCAGCAAAGGTTAGGTAGAGAGAGTGGAGGGAAAATGAGGCGGGGAATGTGAGATTCAGGCCTAGGTTGACAATATGTTTGATCTGGATTAGGCTCATGGCATGCAGGGAGGGGTGGTTGACATTTCTGTTGCATGTTATTTCCCTTTCCAATTTCAGACGTGTTAAAAAAAAAACCTCTCCCCAAACTACTGCAGCACCTCTGGGGGCATTTGGAGGTTTGATTTTGGTTGTTTTTGAAGGGGTGATTGTTGGCAGTAAAATGGTTTCAGTGGTTGAAAGATGGAAGGCCACCTCTCAGGGTTCCACAGCCCCAGTAGGACTGTGTCTCCACTTCTCTAAACTTGAACCAAGCTCTGGACAGACAATAAACATTATAATCTGGTCTGAGTTGCAGAATTAACTGCGAGAAAGTAAAGAATAAGATTCAGTTGGAGATTGCTGAAAGAATTGGACTGACCGATGGTGAACAAGAGTTTATACAAATGAAGGATAGTCAGAAAGCAATTACTGTGGAGGTAATGCCAATTTGCTGTTTCCTTTATCAATAAGTTTAGATAACCTTCACCTCTGCTGTATAACGTAAAGGTAATTTCTACCAGTTCCTGTGCCCCTGCCTTACACATGACATAATAACTGGAGTAATTGCAGTAAGAATAAAAAAGGAACTCTCTCACTCAGTGAAGGGTCATACACTCCTCTCGTTTACTCTAAATACCACCAGTGGCCTCTTGAAAGGGGGGACATGCATGCATGAACCTCTCTTTGTCCATAATCAGAAAGCACCCAAGCCATGCATTTCATAAGAGTACATTGCTGCCACTTCCCTAGCCTTCTACTTGGTGTTCTGAACAGGGAATGCTTCTGTGTCAGATTTTATAAGCTGTAGCTTTGTTCCTTTCAAGGCCTTGAATCACAAGAACAGAGGAATTGTAATCGTGACATAAATTACGCTGGCAACACAGCTTCTGTAGTTATCAAATTTGTCATCTCTGGCACTTCACCAACTTCAGACATGACTTATTACTTTGTAACTGTGCCTGCCAGTTACATTTAAAGGTTTGAGCTTGCCTGTTCCTGGCCTTTCACATTTTAAGCAGCTCTGGAGCTGGTGGGTGGGATGAAGGCAGACGTAACAGGGATGGTGTCAGCAACTGGCACCCTTGAGAGGGTGGTGCTAGGATCCGTTGCTGTCCATGGCCTGACCTGGACCCTTCTCTCAGCAGCACTGGGCAGCTGGGTCAGGCAGTCCTCCAGGGACTGCTCCACAGTGGATGTTCAAAAGCAGTGAAGTTCATGCTTCTTGTGACACTGATCAAAGTATTGCTGCCAAGTAAACCTGAGGGGGTTCAGCAGTCAGGACTGGACCTTGGCCCCCCAGTCCTGTGCCCCCAAGGGACAACCCAGAAAGCAGCTGGGGAACAGGACAGAAGCAGACTCTGCTGTATTTCCATAGTCATGAATTCTGAATTTAAAATGCAGAATTGCACTGCCCAAATTATTATTGCTGTCTTTGATTTTTAAACAGTTTTGTTGTGACACTTTTAATGTAGCAGGAATGCAGAAGCTGCTTTAAAGCATATGGCAAGGAACAGGGGAGAGAAGTGTTACTCATGTCCTGCACAATTAAATTGGCCATCTCAAGGGAATCGCCATAATAACAGATAGTGCAGTGTAGTGGTTAAGAGTGTTGGACTGGGACTTGGAAGATTTGGGTTCTAATTCTCTCAGCCATGACACTCACTAGCTTGCTGTGTGCTGCTCAATTTTCTTGGTACAACCTACCTTACAGGGTTGTTGTGATGTTGTGGCTGCCATTGCCTACCTTGCCCCATTGCCTCTGAGTTCCATTGATGGCAGTGCCTCTAGGCATGGGAACAAGGAAAATGGTGGTGGCTGCACCTGTCTTGCTCAGAAGAGGGCTGATTTTTGGGTGGCTGGAGTTGTGTTGCTTCTGGCACTACTATGACCTGTCCCCTTCCACTCCCTGCCAGTTTGGGGGGCTAGAATACAACCTGCAAAAAGCCCAGTGCAATATTGTCCTGGCCCCAGACATATACAGAAAGGGAGCCAGGTGTGATTGTGCTTTGTAGTGGTTGTCTTTCCTTCCATGTGCCTGCCTTCAATCAAAACATATTTGCAGGGAAGACATCCACGCATCTCTACTCAGGTTCTCTCTGGTCTAATCGTGACTGCCTGCTGATTCATCTGTGCAAATCTGTAACTTAAGCATGCTTAGGGTGCCATCTTATGCGCCATTGGACAAAAAAAGTCCTGTAACTTCCAACACTGGCTGGGGAAGGCTGACTCTCTAAACTGAATACCTCCCATATGTATTTTGACAGGCACAGTTTTCTTACATGTGCCTGAGATAACTACTTGCCCTTTAGTTCAGATACTCAAGAGTACAAAGGATAATGGATATTTTTCACATTCTTCATAAAGTAGCAACTTTGCTCCACTGAGATCTTGCATGCAAAGTATTAGCCAAAGGCCTCAGAGAACAAAAAAACAAAAAATCCAGACAAGCACCTGGACTGCACTAAAGATATCAGTCGAGATATCAAAATTAGCAGCAGCGAGCGATGACCCGTATAGAAATTAAAATAGATGCATAAATAAAGACTCCCACCGCTAACCACATGTTTAGTTACCAGGAGATAGACCCCTTTGCTTTCCAATATTGCGCAACTGACGAAGCCTGCTTTTCTCACCCACAGAATGCATCTGTCACTTCACCTGAGAGCAAGCCCCGCTGCACTCAGCGGAATCACTTAAGAATAACTCACGTCTAGAATAGCCCTCCCAGCACTGTCCACAGCAAAGAACTCTCGCGAGATTTCAATATAAAACCTTCGGGTCTGAGATTGAAGCTTGCCTGCACCACCCGCCGGAAAGGACCGCTCGACACAGGCTGCTAATTGGTTCCCTGTTCGGCCAACGGAGCGCCGGGTAGGGGGAAGGGGGCGGGCGCTTCGAGCGTAGCCGGCGAGGGATGCGCTGGCTGGAGGCAGTTCTCGACGTGGGAGCGCGTCTCCTCCTGCTGCACGGGCGGAGCGGGCATCGTGCGCGGACGGCGCCCGCGGCGAGGGCTGCCCCAGCGCACCTGCCGCCTCTGGCGCGGGCGCGCGAAGGAGGACCTCGGCGCTCCCCCTGCAGGAGCGAGCGCAGGGCGGCTCCTGCAGGACCAAGGTGAGCGCAGCGGCGGGCGGGCGGGACGGAGGGTGGGAGGGAGGCGCGCCCGGCTTGCGTCCCCGCCGCTCGGTGCTCCCGTGGCGAGTCCTCCCGGGCGTGCGGGGAAGGGGTCCTCGCCGGGGGCCTCCGAGCGGGTGGACGGGGGAGGGCGAGCCGCTTGCTCTGTGGAGCGTGGAGCAGAAGTGGCGGCGGCGGCGGCGTGGCGGTGAGACGGGTCGGCCGGCGTGTGGGCAGGACTGCACGGCGAAGGATGCAGGCCGGCGGCCGGCACCCCCGCCGTAGTCGCCTGCCCGCCCAGGTTCGACCTGCCAAAGTCGGTCAGTGCTGGAGTAAGAGGGCAGTGCAATGCGACAGCTCGTGCGTCTCTCCGTATCTCTACGCAGGCGTAGCTGGAGGAGAGAGGTGTTGCGGGAAGGCAAGGAGTGCGTGGCAGGAGGACATGCCGATGTTAAGACAGGCAAGGGGAGCGGTGCGGATGTACGTGTGAATGAGCAAACTCGCGTTGTGCATGACGCGTGAGTGGGCAGACTCGCGTTGTGCATAGTTGCTGCAGAGCAGGGGAAAGAACTGGACCTGCATTTTGTGTGGCTAATTCTACGTTATGCCTAACTCGGTGACGTGTGGGCGCCTCTTCTCCTTGGGGCGTGGGGGGTGGGGAGAAGTATTATGATGTGATTCGAGGCTGTCTCTGTGAGGTGGAGTAGGAGGAATGTGGCGGAGAGCCTGCCCCTACTCTCACTCCCACCAGAGGTATGTAGGTGAGGGAAGGAAAGGTCCTGTATAAGACACAGGATAGATGGGTAGCTAGATGAGCGTATGCGAAAGGAGGAAAAATCGGCTGTAATCAGGCGCCGAGAGGAAAACTTGCATGAGAGAAACTCTTTCTGGTTGTTCATACAAGACAAGGAATTAAAATGAGCACAAAGGGACTGGAAAGAACATGTGAAAGAGCACATCTTTGAAAAATTCACTTCTATGTGTATATGTCAGAATTTACTTTGTTTTGGATAATTTTTGCATTGCCTGCCTCACACATTGTGGGATGTGAATGGAGGCTAGACCCCATGTGGATCACCCAAGTACAGTTCTGGGCTGACCCTCTTTTGTACATCTGGAAAGTGATCCAGCAGGTTACTGTGTGGGAGTCATCCTTGCTTGATTAGAGTAAATGCATATTATGGTAATGCAGCTGTTACCGTCTCAGAAGTAACAACTTTAATATTAAGAACATTTGCTTTGTTACAGGTAGCTTGAGCTGTAATCCTGATCATCATCACCAGGTAATAAATTACTCATTTCTCAAAAATTATTCCTAGAGTTGAGCTTTCATGAACCCCTTTGCTATGTATAATGTGGTGCATATGTATACCTGTGTTTCTACCTATATTTTAGAAAGTTTTTCATTCCCAGCAGCATGCTAGCTAATGATACTAATGTTGCTTTTCTGTCCAAATCCACACCCCTGTGCAAAACAAGAAGCTCTTGTGTCAATGTATCTTGCATTGAATCTGGAGTTAGTCATCCTTAGAGCTGATGCACTGAAATCAAGGAGATTTAAGTAAGTCAAGAATAACTCAAATTCCATCATATCAATGGGTCTTCTTTAAGTATGACTAAGTCTGGGTCTGATCTGATCAAATGTAAAGCAGGTATCATAAGTTACAGTGTTTGCCTGTTGCTTCTAAGCAAAATGCTTCTCAGTTCAGAGTGTTTGAATAGTAAATATTTGGCTTGATCCAGTACTACATTGCTAGTGTGTGTGAATAAAGAACCACAGTGGCACCTTTCTCCCATAGCTTGGACTTGGCTTTTCTCTTTTCCTGTACTGTTCCCGATAGGGCCAGCTCCAGGTTTTTGAGAAATCTTGAGCTAAATATCCTCAGTGGGCCACTTCTCAATGAACTGATCTTTTTACTGCCATAGTAACCAGCTGCTCTTGTTCCTTATCCTCTCTCTTGTCATTGCTTGTTTGACAGGCAAAGAGTCAGTAAGCAACTGGGCATGTAATGCTCCTTTTCTGACCACCAGTGTCAGCATGGCCAGAGGAAGAGGTTGTTGGGACAGTGAATAGAGAGGAGGAAGTCCAGGGGGCTGTTGTCAGTAGGCCCCTCCTAGGCTTTGGGCCCTCAGAAAGGACCTACTGTGCAGGTCTTGGTTCTGGAAACTGTGCTGGTGCTCCCCCCCGTCCTTTCTGTAGTATCAGCACACAAGAGCCATCCCTGCGTGTCATCACCCTACCCTTCTCAGCTCTGCAGTGTTGACATAACCAGGACAGTGATATCTCTGCTTAGTAATAAATGTTTTAATCATAATTTTAGTAGTTTGTTTGTTTGTTTGTTTATTTAGGGGACTTCTAAGCCTCGGGGCGGCTCACAAACCATAAATAAATAGAATACAATAAAACTATATAAATTAGCAATATAAATTAAGTTGCCCTGGTCAAAGAATAAAATGAATAAATAATATTAACAATTAAAATAACATTTGACTAAAAAGGTCTTCGCCTGGCTCCGAAAAACAAATAACGACGGTGCCAGGCGGACCTCTCTGGGGAGCGCATTCCATAGATTGGGCGCCACCGCAGAGAAAGCCCTCCTCCGAGTACTTGCCCTCCTAATTTCCTTCATGGAGAGTTCCCAGAGAAGGGCCTCTCCCACTTGCAGCAATTAAACTTCAATTAGTATGCTGAGAAATATGACTTGTATTTGTGGATGTATACAACTTTTGCCAGTCAACTAAAGGCGGAATTGTTAATGAAAGTGCATTTTACAAAACTACCTTCCTAATCTGGACAAGTTTTCATCATTTCATCATTTTGTTTTGGCTTTTTGGAATTAGGAACAAACAGGCAGAGCATTCCTAAGTGTGAGGCAGGACTTCCTTCCATGGGAGATGATTACTCCCTTGAGAAGGGAGATGGATGAGAAGTTTGTTTTTCTGCCTCTTTCCTCTGAATCTTTGTTTCTTTAACTGTCCCACTCCCTGAAAGCAATGGGAGAATACCAGTGCTAGTCTTGGGGCATAATTTATGGTTGTATTGCAGGACCTAGGGAGTTTTATATGCAGCAAATTTAAGACTCTTCCTGTAAGTACTGCCAGCAGTCAACATAAGGGTTAATATAAGGATAACTGTGTTCTCAAAAGAAGAAATCCAAAGCACAAAAAAGAGAAAGCAGAACAATTCACTTTTATTGTTTACAATCATCATATGTAACTCTGTCCATGTGGGTCTAATGGGACTTGGAATAAAACTTGCAAGGATGTGAATTAAACTTTAATTAAAATCGCAGCAGTTAACCGCATAGAGCTATATGCATAAGTAGTCTGTTAAGACAAAATCAATACAAACCAAAATCCCTGTTTGTAGAGAGAACCATGTAAGTCCAAAACTTTGTAGTTAGCTACTCTTAAGTTCCTCAGTTCACTAAGTTGCAGGATACTTCAGCTATAACGCTGCAGATAGCTTTAGTCTCAAGGCAATAGTACAACTGCAGCAAAAGACAATTTATAAATTGCAGCATGAAAATCCTGAGCCCTGATTTAGTATTCTTCAGATTTATACACCATTCTTTCTGCTAAAAGGTCATCACAAAGTGATGAGCCAAGAATTACTATTCAGCTTTCCTACAGATGCAGATGGGTGTTGTCCTCCTTGCTGTTCCTCTTCCTTCCTGTTCCTCCTTCCTCACTAGGGATTCTGTCCCTTCTGAGCTAAACCACCCATTTCTTCACTGAGCCCCCAGGGCTGCCACACAGTCCAACTCAATTTCCTGCAAGGCCTCAAATGTGTCAATGTGGTATGATGACTGTACAGTTGTGATTCACTGAGACTATACCTTTACACCTGCAACGAAAGGAAATGGTTAATTCTCTGGTTTTCCTCCAAGCAATAAGATCTTAATCTTTTCAGTCCATGGCAATGCTTCAGTGAGGGAACATGCCGACTATTCTGGAGTTAATTGAACAGTGTGTCCTCCTTTAGTAGCCTCTTCTACACACTTTCATAGGAGCAAGTACCACTTGAACTTGGTGGGGATTATGTCTGAGCTTAAATCAGCACAACTGGATCTAATCATGTTCAATGGGTTTAGTTTTCTTCCTCAGTTCACTTTTCCTTTGCTTTATTTCCTTTGCTTCTATACACCATGATTCATGTGAACATAACTTTAAACATGCAGAGGGAGTCAATTTAGATGTCCTGAAATTGGCTAAAGGACTCTAAGAATCTTTTCCTTGTTGCACTTAGTGGGCACAAGGTTCTGATTTAGCTGCATACCGATAATGACGATCCCATAATGAATTTGAACTTAGAAGAATGATGGCTGCCCTGGGGAACATTGCAAATGAGAAGTTGAGGATCAATTATGATAAAACACAAATTGTGGTCTTCAGCAATAATAGAGTCAAACACAGATGGATGATTAATGCTTGGCCAGTAGAGCAATGTCCTGTTTTCAAATATCAGGGTGTTTCCTTTCAGTAATTTTTCCTTGAAAAATTAGCATAGTTCTTTTAGCTGCTTTGTGGGCAGTGAGGACTATTTTAATTCTTTTTTAAGAGCAACCAGTTAATAGCCCCTGCACTCAAAATCTTCCAGGGAAAAGGTATTGTACAGCTTCTGTATGGGACTGAAGTTTTGTGCTGAAATGAGAAAGCACTTGCCCAATTGGAAATACCCAAAATTGTCCTTAATTTAATCTTGACTATTTCCCAGAGCATTCCTGCTATCCATCTAAGGTTAGAGGTAGGCTTATTTTCAGTTACTGTAAGGGTCCATCAGATATTACTGAAATATTTTAAGAAACTTAATAGCTTGTCAGAAGACCATCTGGTTAAATCTAGCTATTTGCACATTTGGGAGGGGAACCACTGGACAAATTTGCTGTCCCATATTTTACAAATGTACTTACACCCTCCATTAAATGAAAACAGGTATTTGAGGTATAAACAGAATTCAAACCTAGCTTTTTGCATGGCATCTCAGTTAAGATACTGCCATAGAACAGCTTTCAAAATTCTCTTTGTGGTACACTTCTCCAAAGGAAAAAAGAACTTGTTATTTAGAAGCTCTTAGCAGCACACTATTAAAGATGGTGCTACTGGTTTTCATTTTCAGACTATGCCATCACTGTATGGTAAAAGCAGATTTTCTGATGTCCCCATGGACTATTTCATCAGGCAAAACAGTATTTTAGGCTGATTTTAGTATTTGTCTGTCCATTGAGACTGGTAAATATCAACTATAGTATCAACCTTTGCTCTTTGATGAAAGAATGTGTGGAATTACAGCCTTCTAATTTCTTCAGGCTTAACTAATTTGATTGAATGTTATCCTTAATAACACCTAACACCAATTCTTTGTAATTGCTGCTGCCATTGACTTTCCACAAAATTTAAGCTTACTTTCACTTTGCATATTAACATGAAACAGCCCTTTATTTTTATTTTTTTTAAATGAAACAGTGAAATTTTGCTTTAGCTGTCAGCTTTTTTCTGCCTCTCCCCTCAACTACCCTAGCTTCCTAGCTCTTGCTTCTGGTGGGTTAGTTTTCAGATAGCTTTACTGGACTGTTAGTTCTCTGTTTGAATGTGATGAACTAGATTCAGGCTAGCTTAATTTATTTTATTTATTTAGAATTTATATGCCACTCTTCAGCAATAGGAACTAAAAGTTATTATGACTAACTTGGCCCATTGATTTTTAATGGGACCAAAGTTGAACTAATTTATTTGGTATCAAATTCAGTTTTATTTTTCTTAAACACCTACCAAGGTGTAATTTTGATGTTTGTTTGGAAGTGGTAATCCCACCATGCTTTGTAACAGCAGAGGATGCTTTTGTGAATATTCACATAGAACTGTAGGCTGCACTTTTATGCCTGCTTAATAAAGAGTATATTCCTTTAAATCTACTAGCATTTATTTCTAAATAAATATGCATAATTTTACCCCCTGAGTGGTCAAATTGCTCCCTGTGCATCTTCAGTGATGTATAAAGTGCTTTTGTAAGTAAGTGATAAAACAGGCCTTACATGAGGATAGGGGATCAGGGACAGTGTTTAGGTTGGGAGGCAGAAACCTGCCAAAAGCCACCTAATCAGTTTGTGGCAGATGTGATGATATCACTGTCCATAATCTAGACACTTGAGTTGTTATGTTGATGTGTTGCACTTTGATTCTTCTGTGTTGTGCTTTGATTTCCTGTTTGCTTCTTCATTTTCAGTCTGAAATTGATTTTCTTCCTTTATGTATAGGGAGGAGAGCAATTAAGGAATGGCAAGTTGCTTCTAGAAAAACTTCTGAGAAAACAAAATTCATTAATATGGCAGCTGCTCCGCTGACTCTACAATGATTTTGAAATGATGTTACGACCTTCTTTACTATTGGCTAAGTAGTATTAGTTGGAATATACTGGCTTCAAACAAACAAACAAAACTTAAATCTCGCTCTCTGGCCAAATATAAACCAGTGTGATGTTGAAATGAGATGAGGCTCCGAAATGGAACTGTGGCCACCGTGTTAATTTTCATCACATCTTTCCTTAGTTTATCCTGGTATACAGCATGGCAAAATGGGAAAGGTAAGTAGCATCTTTTCTGAAAAGAAGCACAGAACTTTTCCTGTAACATGCGAGATCAATGGAGAAATGCAGTTCAATGCAGTTCTGTTGAGGGGTGTTGCGGAGATAGTTTTTTCTTTTTAGATATTTAGACTAACAACACAAGGGGTATGCTGACGGTTGCTGCTCAGAATAGAGCCAACTTAATCCTGTATTTCCAGAAAATGAAAGTAAAGAACTTCCTAACCATATCTAGCTCTTATAAATCTCCTAAACATAGGAGAAATTGAGTAGAAGACAATTGTCTCATTGAGGAGCAATAGCTTGTGGTTTTCTTTGAGCATGTCCATATGTGTGCCAGTTCTGGTCAAAAGAAAAAGGTCACCAGTTTTCTTACTACATGAGCATGTAAGTTTCTCTTTTTTCTGTTTGATTTGTGCTGAGTTCTGTTAACCACAATAAGGAAAAACACTTCTGTTTCCATCTCTTCTTTTAACTTTAAAATCGTGATTGACATTTGTTTTCACGCTGCCTAAGCTGTTCTGTGCAACCAAAACAAAAACAGTATTTGAAAGTAGCTCTGATTCTGAGCTCGCAGCGCAAATTGCAATCATTCTTCAGAAAGTGCAGGAGATCATGTTCTTGGCTTGTTACTTTTACTTGAACTGCTGGTCACAAAGCTAATGCATACCAAGTTTTCCAATGCTATATTTTCCATAGGAAATTTTCCACACCATTTATGTCCACAGTTATCCCTAGTTGCTTATGGAAGACTTGAAAAATAAGGTGTGACAACTCCTTGCATTGCACAGTCCAAGTTGCTCTAGGCTGTGTCTGGACCAGATTTACGCATGGTATATTTGCCCTTTATTTCTTCGATAACATAGAGAAGGAAAACTGAAACTAAGACAGTGATTTTTGTTTCACTTAAGATCTCACACAGTAAGAGCTGTGTTGGATGAGACCAAGACTTCATCTAGTCCAGCATTCTCTTCACACAGTGGACAACTAGCGACCCATGAGATCCCACAGGCAGGGCATGATTGCAGCTCCCTCCTGCCCAGCTTCCGCAGCCTGTGCCCCAGGAACTGCATTCATCTTTTAGTGAAATAAAACTTCCAACTAGTTGCTGTGAATGAGATTTTTCTCAGCTTGCAGTGGAGTTGAGGGGCTGTACAGAGAGAGTAAACCTGAAGGTGTTACATCCAGCAAAACATAAATTGTTGATATATATGCACTGGTAACATCCCATTTGGACTATTGTAATGTGATTTAGGTGGGGCTGCCCTTGATGATGGTCTGGACATTGTGGTTCAAAATAGAGCTGCCAGATTGCCAACTGTGACTAGTAGATGAAAACATATTGCACTGGTGCTACATCAGCTACTCTGGCTAGCAATTGAAGTCCAGGCCTGCTGTAAGGTGCTAATGATGACATATAAAGCCCTAAACCATTTAGGGCCTAGTTATGTAAGGGAATGCCTCCTTTCATATGAGCCTGCCTGAACCTTGAAAGAGGTTAGGAGGGCTGTGACAAGGAGGAAGCCTTTTCTGCTATATCACCCCGATTATGGAACTTTCTTCCCAGAGCTGTGTGCCTCGCGCCAACACTTTTTTCATTCCAATGCCAGGTCAGAACCTTTTTATTTACCCAGTTTTTATTGCTAATTGGCATTTTAATTATTTTATATCAAGTACTGGCACTGAGTTTTTAATTGTTGTATTGTTGATTAAATTGTTTTGTGTGTGTGTGTAAACTGACTTTTTAATGAATGACAGTACACAAACATTTTAAATAAAAAATTAAATTATTTAAAAAAATAAAAATAAAATAAAAATAAATATTGGGTTTCTTTGGGTATGCATCCTAAAATACTGTGTTCTTTCAGGTGTAGTCCTTTTTGTTAAATACAAACACATATCACAAAGTCTATGTTAGTATTTTTACATTTTTACAAATTTAATAATATAATTTCCATATGAAGCTTTGCATATGTTTGAATATGACATTTAAACTTTATTGCAAGGATAATTCAATTTTAGAAGCAAGTATTTTAGTTCAAATACTTTGTAGTTATTGGGAAATTTTGTGATATATTGCACATAATATTGCCATGGATTATAGCTTTAGTTTCATTTACTAAATCTGAGCATTCTGAGTATTGAGGGAGAATGTGCACTGGAGAGTAAAAATGAGTCAACCAATACTCAGAATATTGTTATCTGAAATCAGATAACACTATTCTGAGCATTAGAAATATTCCTGGAAAATCCACATACCTGTGCATGCATGTAGATGCAAGTTTTTAATACTTGGGCTGTGTGTGTATGACTGTGTGTGTGAAGTAAATGCTCACAGTGTTTGCCTGAGATACACTTTGGGTTTTTTTGGTGGGGGGGAAGAAATGGTGCTGCCTTGTTTTCAATTTTAGCTGTGCTAAAATAAACAATTAAGAAAAACATACTGATTCACATAAAGAAGCTTTTATTATTGATCAATGTTGATTTAATCAGCACTCCTAATGTCTTTGTATTTATTTAGTTTTGTGTTTCCTGTGGCTACAGCTGCATGGACTGATTCTGCTATCGCTCAGATAAAACCTACCTACAGCCTTAGTAAAGTTGATGTAAACTATCACTATAGTAATCCAGCACATACAGATCAGTGTTGTGAAAGCCCAAACACACTGCAGTTACCAAAGGCTTCCATCCAATTCCTCTGTTTAACGATATGTATGCGGAACATCTCTCTGGAAATGTTTTGCATTTTGTGATGCCATCATGACATTTTCAAATAAAGCAAATAAAAGAACATAACAAGCATTTGCTGGCAACTTGCCATTTCTGGTGATCGCTTCAGTGCAAAAGCAGGATTCTGTATAATCCCTTCTTGACTACTGGCCAGCTGCCACTAGGGAAGAATAACGTGCTCATTATTTTTGAAAAGGTACTGAAAATAAACTATCCTGCCCAAAATGTATTTTCCTTTTTTGCTCCTGAAAAGGAAAAAAAAGCCCTCCTACAGAAGAGATGCCCTTGTAATATCAGCATCGGTCAAAACTGCATAATCTAGATAGAGGGCAATGAAGAGACTTGTATAAAACATACCAAAACTTTCAGCACAATCCTTCGAGCGGCTTCCTGCAGCCCTCTAGATAAAACTATCCATTACCCAAGCCAGGGGTCCAGTGCTGAGGACAATGAACTTTGTAGTTGATATACCTGGAGAACCTGCTCTACACAAGGTTGCTAATTGGTAGCTACTCTGCTGCATCTTCTTTCAGATTTGCTGTAGAATTGAGATCCAAGTTCTATATAAGGGTTCTATTTTCAGCTTTTTTGTTACATAACCTTTAGGTGGCACTGTGGTATACTGGAATAGCACAAATATAGGAGGCAAAATCACACGCCTTATTTCGCTTTCACCGTTAAACACCCCATTTACCTGTTCAGTAAAAGCTATTTGAAAGGCCTGCTTAGACACAGAATCAAAATGGGAGGTTCATGACATTTTCTAAAGAACCTTCAAACAATTGTCAGTGTGACAAGTGCACAAATTAATGCTGCTTGCAGGAAAGCTTACAATCTAAGACAAATGTATACACACCTGACAGAAAGCTGCTATGTCCATTGCAGTCTTAAACAAAATCTGCATAGGCGTGCAGAAGAAGAACTTTGGATGAGCAACTGTAGAAGAACTTTGGATGAGCAACTTAAAACAAATAAATAGATCTGGTATGTTTATTTCCAACAGAACTTAACCTTCTCTATCTTCCACCAAATGGTTGAATGTATAAAGGATAAACATGGGAACTTTTTTCTTACAAAATGAATGTGAAGGATTTGAAACCTGTTTGTGGCTAGTTGTTGTATTAAGAACAACTCATCACTAGGATACCTAATATTTCATCTCACCAGCCTCTGGAGCTTGTCCCCCAGCATTTCTACAACATAAAAGACAAATTTAACGGGATGCTATCTTTACATGGTGGATTTTTAAATTATTACAACAAAGCTATTTTAAGTTTTTTTCTGTGGAAATACATCATTTTAAAGTCGGAATCCCCACGTTTTTCCTTACTGACCAGGCACAATTTATGGTTGCCATGCTATTCCCCTCCCTCCTGGCATGCACAGTCTTCAATGAAAGGCAAGGTCTCTTTTATTCTACACTTTCATTAGGAGCAGTAAGAAATCTCGGACTCTTTTTCCTGCTGTTCTTTTCCTTTCTCCATGGACCAAAGGCAGCCCACCAACTCCATACTGTAGCCTTGTAGATGGATGATGACCTCCCTCCACAACTTTATTTATTTATTTATTTATTTATTTATTTATTTATTTATATGTTATAAATATTCATAGGCCACATATATCTGCCGAGGACTTCCTAGGCAGCTTGCAATTCAAAGCAAGGAAGAAATATGCAAGGCTGATGGAGCCCTCGTGGCTCATTTTCTGTGGCTAGTGGACTGTGTTTGGGTTGTAATTTATGTACAGCTGTTTTAGAAATATGTATTCTATAAGACCTGGAATCATGACATTCTGACCAATTCTGGGAATTCCCGTATTTAGGCATCTTATCTATGATATTTAGATAGATTGTAGCTTGGTGGCGTAGCAGCTGTTTTGCATGCAGACTGTTCTGAATCAAAACCTTACTTAAATTATACTGTTTTATATTGTGTTTATTTATTTATGATTGTGAGCCGCCCCGAGGCTTCAGTGAATTAATAAACAAATAAATAAATAAAACCTGGTGTCTGAAGGTTTGGTAGGAAAAACTCCTGCCTGAAGCCTTGGAGAGTCACTGTCAGTGTTGAGAGTATTTTATTGTTTACTACACTTGCTTTATACCCTACCCTTTTTCCTCTTGTGAGAAACCCAAGACTGCTTATGTGGCTTCATTTGTGAGGTAGGTAAGGCTAAGAGTCCATGACTGGCGCAAAGTCGCCCAGTAAGCTTCATGGCTGAATGGGGAGCCAGGTCTCCCAGGTCCTCGGTCCAACACTCTAACCACCACA